CTATGGGCCAGCGACCTTCTCCCCCAAACAAGGCCCAACATGCTAATTCCTCTTATATTATAATTCAGCCCATCACTAATTAAATTCATTTAATTAATTTATTGCCTCTTACTTTATTTTTAATAACTTATGGCTGCAATTCTAAATTAGCTTTCTCATGCCTAACATAATTTCTGTGACTAATTAATTTGTTTCAAGAAACTTCCTAACTCAAATTAATTTTCTCCTAATAATTATATACTCGAATCAAAGCACAAAGCACATACAAGAACATAATACCCAAAATTCTCATAGCAACATAATATATTTCCTATTTACGTGGGATGTTACAACAATCGGTTCCATACAAAAATTTTTCGAGGAAATCAGATTGGGGTGCCAAAACCACTGATTTAGTCGAGCAACCACTGATTCAATCGGTTCCACACACACACTACAAACGTAAAGTAAAAAACATAAACCCTAAATCTAATCCTCCTCCTCCTCCTCCTCAGACGTCGTCTCCTCGTCATCCTGGTCGGACACATCAGCCCCCTGCTCTGCAACATCCTCAACCTGCTGTCCAAGCTCTAGACAAGCAAGCCTATCTTCAACACCCTTGAACCGTCCCTGTATATGTCTAAACCTTTCATTCCCTTTCTGGATGTGACTCTTCCTCCATTTTTTGTGTTTCAGCGCCATTTTTTCTATTTTCTTCAGCGTGGCGTTTATGCCCTTCATGACATCACGCAATGAAAACCCACCCTCAGGCTCAGCTATCTCCTGCTGATCACCCTCATCATCATCGTCAGCATCATCCTCCACCTCGGGCTCAACCATGTCTGCAAGTGGAGCAACCATGTCAGCTTTCCAAACTTATGATTATACCTTGTGGTCTTCTTCAAGGTCACATTGCCCATGGGAACACCAAAGTGTTCCAATATCCTCTGAACAAGACAAGCAAATGGAAGTGCACCCTTGTGTTTGGCCTTATACATCATCCAACAGATGTAGTGCCTCCAGTTCACCAAAGTACCATGTCGGATAGCCCACATGATAGGAATGTCATGTTCCAACACCCTGGAATGGTTGAACGCTCGCGGAAACAGAATGTGGGTGATGACATAGTGTAGTATACGGGACTCCACAGTAAGCAACCCCACCGTATAGGCAATATGTTGCCCATGGACTCTTCTCTGCTCCTGCACGGCATCACCTCATGTATATCCTGGAAGTGTGGAGCCGCTATCTGCGTCATATTCCACAGTGTCCGCAGAATCAAAGTCATACCCCAGTAACTCCAACCATGCCGGAGCCGTCATGATGATCTCCACCCCGCAGACCCTCGACCTCAGCTCACCTTGTACATAGCTGAGGTTATGGTAGAAGGCCCGTACATGCAGCTCTGAATATGAACACGACAGCTCAGCCAAAACCCTAAGATGTGCTCCTTCCAACCACCTCACAATGTTAAAACCTTCTGCTTCAAAAAATGTTGTATCAAGTGATTTGGCCCCACATATGGGTCGGTTAGCAAAGTCACAGACAAATGAATCATGAACCACGGGGTCATGCTCGAACAAGTATCCGAATGGGAGGTCGACAAGAGCGGGCTCTTCATCTTGTGGCCTTGACGAAGACAGACGGTCTTGTCGTACCTTTTTACGTTTCTCATTTCCCACGTTATCCGATCTTCTACGCTCAGCCATGGGAACAACGGTACCTACAATGCAAGTGGAAACAATATCAATGGACAATAACCATATCAAAAAAATTTAAAATTCAATATAAAAAACTAAACCCTAACCCTAAAATAAAACATAAAACAAACCCTAAACCCAATCAAAAACAGCAACCCAAACCCTCAACCCTAACCCTAACCATAACATAAAAACATGAACCCTACCCCTAAACCCAACCTACAACAGCAACCCTAACCCTAACCCTATCCCTAAACCCTAACCCTAACCTGACCCTAACCCATCACAGGAAAACCAATCCTATACCCTAACATAAAAACAGGAACCCTAACCCTACACCCCAACCAAAACAGCAGCCCTAACCCTAACCCTAACCCATCACAGGAAAACCAATCCTATACCTTAACATAAAACAGAAACCCTTAACCTACACCCAACCAAAACAGCAGCCCTTCCCCTAACCCTAACCCTAAGCTACCACATCAACCCTAGTCAATTACCCTCACATCAAACTCAACACCCTACCCCTAACCTAAATCCACAAAACCGCAAACAACCTTCTACCATAAACAAGAAATTTAAAAAAACAGAAACCAAAGAATGGAGAAAACAAAAAAAAAATAAACCTAAAACCAAATGCAAGTCAGAAAACGTTACCTACAATGTCAATTTCGCAAGTTGTGAACCAATGATGCTTCAATCGGACCTTCAAGGGATGAGATTCGAACTTGGTTGAGGAGAGGGGTTCTTGGAGCGAAATTAGTCGACTAGGATTTGAAAATAACCCCCATTGCGAAATGGGGGGGTTTTAAAAAACCTGGTCCGCGATATTTAGTCGACTAAATAATGGCCTTAGTCGACTAAATGTGCTCGACATGTAGTCGATCAAGGTGAATATTTAGTCGACCAAAATTCGTGTTTCTTGATTTCTGAATTTTGCCCATTTAGTCGATTAAAAGTGCAACTTGATCGACTAAATGGGGGCAGGATGGTGGATAGTTCTGGGGAGGGGAAAATTGGTTATTAATTAATTAATGAGGGGCAAAAGGATTAAAAAGCCGGGATCCACTACAAAATAAAAAATATAAAAAATAAATATGGGACTCACCTTGATTTTGTTTCACGACATGAGATACGTTATCTTATGCAACATAAGATTAGTTTTACCCTTTATTAAATTATGATCATTTTTAGCGGGCAAATGACCGATGCCTCAGTGGTTTATGTATGATGTATATATAAAAAAAACTCTTCTTATTACTAATACTTATTGATATTAGAAACATTGGCCATAGAGTTTATTAGTGTTGCCGATGAGATTAATCCATCTCATAAAAAAAAATTAAGCTTATTTCCAAAAAAAAAATTAAGATAAGGGTATACATAACAACCTTCTTGGAATTTTTTTTTTTTAATTCTTGGGAACAGAAATGGATAGAATACTCATTTGGTAAAATCAATTTATTTTTTTGTTCTCGGGATGAATCTTATTAATCTTTGTACTGGAAAACAGAAAAAAAAATAAAAAAAATTCTGTATTTTTGTTCCCAGACACAAAATGAGAAATATTTGTCTCTCTCAATCACTCTCAACCACTACCATCATTACCACCGCCACCATCATCTCGACACGACCGTCACCACTATCGTCGCCGTCGTTGTTGTACCACCAGAGTCATCGTCACCATCACCACAACCACGATGTCATCGCAACCATCATTATCACCATGCCACCGTCACCACTACTACTACCACTGCCACCGCCACTACCAGCTATAGAGTCGGCAAAACGAGCTCGGCTCGATGGCGGAATAACCCGCCGGCCCACCAAATAGGGTGGGTGGGCGGGCTCATTTTTTGGCGAGTTAATGGCGGGGAGGGAGCGGGCTGAGGCGAGTAAGTGTAAAATAGGTTTGGGCCGACGGGGCGAGGCGGGCTGCCTACTTTGCCACCTCTAACCATCACCGTCACCATCACCACCACAATTATCGCAACCACTGTCGTCCCACTCCCACGCCACTGCCATTACTATCGCTACTACTACCACTACCACCACCATTACCATCGCCACCACGCCACCACCATCGCCACAACTACCACCGCCGCATCATCGCCACCGTCACCAACCACCACCACCATCGTCACCACCATGCCACCACCACTATCGCCACCATCGCCATTGTTGTAGCCATTGTCACCACCACCACGCCATCACCACCACCACACCATATGAAAAGGAAAGTGATGATCCGAAAAAAATTTATGCTTAATAAGAATTATTTTTTATTATATTATTTGTTGTGTTATCAAATACAATTCTTATTCTTAGAATAAAAATAGAACATGTTATCAAATACATTTTTTTTCTCAGAAAATATTCCGAGGCACGAAAATAGAAAATAATTGTTTCTTTTTAGAAACAGTGTCAGGGAACATAATGATTATCATGCACACCCTAAAGAACTAAAGCCCCAAAAAAATTTGATTAAGGAAACTAGGCCACATGCAAAACCCACCTATCCCATATATATATATATATATATATATATATATATATATATATATATATATATATATATAAAAGTTCATAAAGAATGAAATCACTTTCATGTTATTTTAAAAATTCTATAGAATTAAAGTTATTTTCATTATTGAAAACACACGAAGCATAAATACAAAATTGATAATTATTGGTTTACATAATTCAAATATTTCTTATTATTATCTTTAATATTTCTCCTCAAATTATGTGTATGTATTTGATTCTCTCTAGTATCATTTTTGAGAAATGTTTAAAGTCTTAATCTCTGAAATTCGTCCCGAATCGGATTAGTCGAAAAGCGATGAAACGATTGGAATATATATATATATATATAGGAAAATATTTTTCTCATGTTGCATGAGACAATCACATAAAAAAATGAGTGGGACCCACTAAGAAAAAGAGAGAAAAAAGAAAAAAAAAATGGATTCTACTCATATTTTTATGTGTTGCATGAGATAATTTATCTCATACAACATAAGAAAAATATATTTCATATATATATATATCCTCCCATTGAAGCATAGAGATAACGAATATCCAACTAACAAACTAAAAAGATAAAAAAAATATCTTGCCCAACTAACAGTGTACCTGTGACTTGTGAGGAATCCCTACAACTACAATGTATTAATCCGGGAAAAGCTATTAATATTGAAAACGATTTATTAAGTGAAACATGAAAAGTCCAATAATAATAATAATAATATATAATAAAAAACAATTATCCTTAAAGCTCATGTAATTATTATAAAATATGGTGTTGGCGTGGGGAATAATATTAAAGCTCATGAACCAACGTCGCCGATACCATTTTCCATCTCGTCAAACTCCTCTTTTTCATTATTTAATATTTATTCACTACTCACTCCTTCTCTCTCTCTTGCTTTGTTAATTATTCTGAATTCTTTCTCCTTCATCTCTCTACGCGCAAAAATCATGACTGGTTCCTCAGCTGCCGCTCGCAAGGTTAGCCCTAGCTCCTTCAATTTCGCTCCCCCTTTATAGTGTTTATCTCTCTCTTTCTCTGTCTGTGTTGGGTTTTTGCGTGTGTGTTTGTTGATTGAATTTCGATCCGTGATGTTTCAGAATCTGAGTAAGATTGCCTGCAATAGGCTCCAGAAAGAGCTTGTGGAGTGGCAGGTCAATCCCCCCTCTGGTTTCAAGCACAAAGTCACCGACAATCTCCAGAGGTATCAGATTCTTCTAATTCACCTCTTAATTTTTTTTTTACACCCCAAAATTTTCAATTTTCCCCCGTTTCACGGGTTTTATAGTAGTTGTTTGTTTGTGATGCTTTATGGGTCCTTCAAAGTCCTTTATTTTCTTTCGATTTGGTTTATTGATCCTTTTTTTGTTGCATGCCCACCATTGTACCTTTACATTGTTTTGTTTTTTTCCATTCTTTTTTTCTTTCTGGAAGGTGGGTTATTGAAGTGACAGGAGCTCCTGGGACACTTTACACCAATGAGACCTACCAGCTTCAGGTCGATTTTCCTGAGAATTACCCGATGGAAGCTCCACAGGTTCTTCTTTTACCCTTAACATATATAAATTCACCTTTCTGTAGCAAGCTCTGGTCTTCGCTGATGCTACTCTGTTCTGACTTCTCAACGGTTTTACAGGTCATATTTTTGCATCCGGCTCCACTGCATCCTCATATCTATAGCAACGGCCATATTTGTTTAGGTGTGTGTGTGTGGCTTTAATCATATTTATCTTCTATATATTTCCAGTTACTATGTCTCGTAGTCTCATCTTATGAGATATTCTGTTGGTTAATGTTTTATCCATTTTTCATTTACTTTTTTATGTTCTAGCAAAGCCTTTTATTGCAGGATTTTGGTATGTGTTGCTTTTATTTATGTTTGTTTGCATTAACTTTTATGTTTCCTTGCTTGCAGACACTGATTTTTCTGACAGTTTCTTCGTTTCTTGTAAATGGCTTCAGATTTTCCTTTGAAGTCATGATATTCAAAATTATAATTTCTTGCTAAGAATTCTTGAGAAAGAGGATGGCGATGGGTTGTTTACTTGTTTAAGCTTCTCTGATGCCTGAGAAAATAAATTTATTCCGTAATTTATTCTATATCCTCCTAACTATCTTCGTATTAATCCTCCATATTACTTAAAGAAAAAAAATTATTAAATGCAATCACATTTTTGTTTAATACTTACTATTTTAAGCAATTATGAGGATTTGTTAGGAGGATATAGAAATACTCAATTGAAAATTTAAAATAGCTTACATATAAGAAGTTAATAGACCCTTAGAAAATATATGAAGCAAGAGAATCTTGTAGCAAATGGCCTTGTTACTTGTGCAGATGTACATCTTCCTAATTCAGTATGTCCAAGATTCTAATGGGACCTCAGTATAAGTTTGAATATGCTAGGAATGTGATTTGAAGGCTGTAAGGGTAGCTAAGAAGATAGGAAAACTATGGTATACCATTTATGGGAGGAATAGAAGCAAGTTTGGGTCTCACTCTCACCCTTCTTACAAGTGCTTTTCTTGTGTGTTTCAATGCATTATGCATGCATATCATTTTTCATGTTTTTAAGTAGTTGTTAGAATTGCATGATTTGCGATTCAAATTTCGTGATTTTATATGATTTGGCAAGCTAGCAATTCACCTCATGTTATGAATTGCATATGGCTTTGATTTGTGCAATACATGCATGAATCACTGTGATTTTGTTTCACCGATACGAATCACAGATTCAGCATTTCATTGATTTTTATTTATTATTATTATTATTTGTTTTTCTGTCACCAATTCTCGTGAGAGAAAGTGAAAAGATAGAAAAGCTTAAATTGTTAAATGAAAAAGGAACTGAACGAGCGCTATTTTACACAATCACTCACTCATTCTACACACCCTATTTGGGTGTTCCATTACTTTGTTTTCTTTCTTCTAAAACAGAGGCTTCACACAGTCACTCACTCTATACAAACCTTATTTGTCTATATCATTGCTCTGTGTTGGGAAACATTGGCTTCATGCAGTCACTTTATGTGGCTCCTAAGGCTAAGAAGAAGAGGAAGAAGGATGTTACCTGAGAACAATTGTACTGTTCTTGGCAATTGTATGCTTAGTATAATTATCGTCCAATGTCCACAAACAAGGTGGGAGTAATGCACTTAGGATGAACTACCATTTAGTATGAACACGTAAAAGTATTATGACTTGTGAGTTTACTTATGACTTTTGGCAAATGATGGCATTGTGATATTATTGGAGTTTACCTTTTCCATAGTGATATGTAAAATTTAAGTATTGATTTGACACTATTGAGTATTTTGTTAATGTTTTTGTGTTGATCATGTATTTTAAGTTTTTTAATGATGCGTTTTTTAATTGCATGGTATGTTACAATTTGCATTTCAAATTGAACAAACAATTCTCGATACAATTCAAAATTTGACAACTATAGTGTATTTCAACCTTCATATTCATAGAATCATAGTTATAAATGTCTCCATTTGTCTAGGTTCTATATTTGGGCCTGAGCTGCTTCTCTTGTTTTCTCTTTCTCCCTATCTATTCTGAGAGGAATAACCTTGGAGTTCTTACTTACTGCAAGATGGTTTAGACTTTCTAAATGAATTATATGAATGTTTGACAGAGATATCCTACATCATTGTCAGGCAAATGTTCTTTTTGTCTTTCTCTCTCTTGCTGATTAGGCATATTATTTGGTGTTGAGCTGACCTTTAATATCCTGGGAATTATGCAGATATATTGTATGATTCATGGTCCCCTGCCATGACAGTTAGTTCTATTTGCATCAGCATTCTCTCAATGCTTTCAAGCTCAACTGTAAAGGTGTGAACTTAGTTACCGTGAATCTTCTGTTTTTCTTATTCTTCCCGTTGTGCTGTGATAGGATGCTGGTATTTTGGAATCATAAACATGCTTCTTTTATTGGCCATGTAGGACATATTCACATATCCTATTCTTTTAACCAATGTTTGAATAAAATTAATTTGGTAAATGATTAGAAGCCTTATTGGTTAATATTTAAGTTTCTAAATGTGAATTTAGGTGGGTCAGTGATCCAGCATCAAATGGATGTCATTTTGACTTATCTCTGAATTGATTTCTTTGGCAGCAACGCCCTGAAGATAATGACCGCTATGTAAGGAACTGCAGAAATGGCAGATCTCCCAAGGAGACAAGGTGGTGGTTCCATGATGATAAAGTATAATAGCTAGTATTCTCTAATAAGTCCACAAAACTAGAGTAGAGGATTATCCTTTTGAAACGAAAATGAAGACATGGGAAAAAGCATTTTGAGAAACGAAGATCCCTTCAAATTAAGTGGATAATAACACTTGTAAATTGGCATTGCCTGGTATTTGTAAAGGAAGAGGAAACTATGCGTCTCAAGCAACTTTGGTAACTCGCCGTGTTTAGTGTTTTTCTTTCTTAAGGATTATGTCATATATATATATATATTTATATATATCTCCAAATTGAAATATAAATTGTTACGATTCAGTCTTAGTAATGATATTTATATATATAATATATATATATATGAGGTAGGATTCTTTGACACTTCATCTGATAGTCGTTAGATAAAAAAAGATCAATGGTGTCACATGTTTATAAATCAGAGTTGTTGATCTTTTTTGATCTAACGGCTGTCAGATGAGGTGTCAAATTTTAAATTTTACACTTCATCTGAGAGTCGTTAGATCAAAAAGATCAATGGTGTCATATGCTTACAAATCAGAGTCGTTGATCTTTTTTGATTTAACAGCTCTCAGATAATGTGTCAAATTTGAAATTTGACACCGGTGTCAAAGGATCCTAACTCATATATATATATAGCTTTGATTTTTTCATGTTGTATGAGAATTGTTTTTTTATGTTGTGACTCACCTAGTGATGAACCTTACACATTCAAATAAAATTTTTGTGCATAAATCGAAAGATCATAATATGTGTAAACACTTCTCACTTAACACGAGAAGTATTTTTTCATCCATATATATAATTTTGTTTTTTTTTATAAAAATATGGAAATGAATCGTTAAAATTAATAAATTTAATTTAATAATGTGTGATATTTTGGAAGGGTGATAATTTGATGGGAATCCGCATTGGTGCCGTAGTTTTAAAAATGCAGAGGATCATCCTCATCCCTGGGTAACTTGTCCAATCTAAGCTCACATGAACATGGCCAGAATTATGTGTGAGCGTCAAATCCAGCAGACCTACCCCTAGCTTCTGTCTCTGTGCATCCTGAAATAAGGGCATTTCGAATTCGAAACCACATAAGACATAAAGGATTTCATATTATACATTAATTGTATTTGTTAAACCTTAAACAGTTATATTATACCATATATAAAAGGGTTTTCGTTTTATCCTTTAACATAACACAACAAACTTTCCTACACTCACAACATTTTGTGGGGCTCATACTTTTTAAAACAAAAAAATAAATAAAAAATTAAAGCACGCAAAATGAATCTCTGTAACATTACACAATCATTTTTCCTACAACATAACTCTTATAAAACTATATTTAAACCATGTTATAGATGAATCGATGATAGGTTGATTGATTAATTTAGAAACACAGTGTAAGAAGCAGCTTTGAACCAATGGAGAATTGATAATGACAAGCATGTGATGACTGAGCTGAGAAGCAGCGATGGGCCAGGATTGTAGATTTTGGATTAGAGAAAGATGGGACGGGTCTATGCTACCAAACAACGTTAATATCTTCGAACTTTCTCTATCACATTGCCGTGCCTCGATATTGATGAGTGATTCAATTTGTAAGTAGTAGTACAATGCTAGCTATATCCGCAAATGTAATCACTCCATATGCTGACACGAGTATTCGCTGCAGGACGTACGTGCCTATTTGCTTTCAACATCAATTAGTGCATGCTGATTGATAGCTATTAATCCATCAGAGGCCTGTCCTGTCATTGTATTTATTAATTAAAACTTCGAATGTTGTTATTAACTGTAACTTAAACCTTAGTTTATCTCGAACAGTGACCAAAGTGTCAATATTTACCAATTTTTTTACCTAAATGTCACACGAACAGTCTTATTTCTCAATCTGTCATGGAGGCAAGTTCGTTACCCGGTGTAGCGAACTTGGTTTGCTCACGTGTTACATTTCTAGTGGATAACAAGTAACAAATTTTTTTTAAAAAAAGTTTGAAGGTCGTTACATAGGGTAGCAAACTTGGTTAAAACCAAGTTCGTTACCCCGTGTAGCGAACTTAGTGTCCACTAGAAACGTGACACGTCAGCAAACCGAGTTCACTACACCGGGTAGTAAACTCGCCCCCGTGTCAGATTGAGAAATAAGACTGTTCGCGTGGCATTTAGATAAAAAAATTAATGAACATTGGCATTTTGGTGACTGTTCTAGTTTATCTCATTTAGACTATTTTGTTCTATGATCCATTCCCAGATTAAAATTAGGAAAAATGGTTTCTGCATTTAAGTTGTGTTCTTTTAATTGCTTATAATTATTTATCTTGAATAGTATATAATTATATTATTGAAATTAATTTTTTTTCTCTCTTTTGAAACTATTGATTGGCTTGAAAAATAAAAATAAAAAACATAATTTTAATATTATAACTATGTATTTTTTAAAATATATAATTATAATCAGCTAAAACGACATAATTTGTGTTCTTTAAAATAATAAAAAAATTCCCTTAAAATAAACATGAAAGACACGGATAATAACATTTGTGTTTAATAAGAGCAAGTTGGTTATCAGGTGTGTGTCTGTTCTATCATTGGTGAGTTATTCTTAATTTCTACCTTCACCCTTGAAAATGAACTAAAACTCTGTGTGCATGTCTTTGTGTCTTGATCCTGCAACATTAATACTTTGTTTCATCTTTGGTTTTTAATTTCTCTGATCATTGTAAACTACCAAACTTCTTACATAATCCATGCTCCTTCCAAATTGAAATTCCATTTTAGCAACTCAAAAAACCAAAAAAAAAAAAAGTGGACACACTGTTCATTGAACAAGATTGGCCTATGTATACTGTTTTCTGTTATACGATTCGTAAATCTGAAGTTCCCAGTTAACCTAACACTACTTGAGGGGGGAAAGTTAATTACTGTTCTTTTCCTTTCATATAATATCATTCTATTTCCATGATTTCTCGGATGAATAAACATGGATTTGATATTTTGTGATATCGTGTATGGAGTTAAATAAGACTTCCTGTGGACTGACTCGTAATGACTTAAATAAAGCAAGCAAGACGCTAGCAGGTTTATTTCAGGAAATGAGTAATGACAAACAACGCAAATAGCCATCAAGCATGAGAGAACTCAATGCAGGAAAATTTTGCTATTAGTTGAAGGGGATGATTAGAAGTACACTAGGTTATACTATGTAATTCCGGGAGTATATAGTATAATTTGTAAAAATTTGTGAATGAATCATTTCTCTTAGTTTATATATATATATATATACTCTTGATTGAAGTATGATCGGTCATACACTCTTAATTAAAGTACGATCGGTCATATTTTGTGTAATTTGTAAGAGTTTGTAAACAAAAAGTTTATAAATATAACATTTATATATATATATATATAAAATATTAACCTCATGTGATAGGAGACAACAAGTCTCTCCTACACATGCACTCAAAAAGATATGGGTCCCACTTTAATTTTTTTCTCTTTTCCTATACAATGGGATCCACATAAAATTGTGAGTGCAACATGAGATATCATTTGATATCTCATGTTGCATAAGAAAATATAATCTCATACATATATATATATATTTAACACATCCAGTTTATATAAAAGTTTAAGGTTTAGGTAGATTGTATTAGGTTATGTGTTAAATTTTTATTTGTATAAAAAGAACTTAACATTGTAGGTTTAATTAAGTAAGAAAACAATGAATGTTATTTAAGATTCATCCATGGTCTAATAAATAAAAGTATGAAGTGGTCGCTGGCTATTAATTAGAGGTAGCCAGCTGTCCAATAATAATAATGCTTGGCTTTGCTTTTCACACAGTTTCACCAATTTATAATTTATTCGCAGTTACACTCCAACCCTACTTTTCCTTTGGCAGCATGGCTTTCCTATTTTAGAAACACTCTTCACTCATCCACCCTAGCTACTCACGCTCCTCCTTTTTCTTTGTTGTGTGTGTGTATGAGTTACTACTCACTGCACTCTCTTTGGCTTTATTATTAGCTTTGCTATCTTCCACTCTCTCTCTCTATCTATATCTCTTGTCTATTAATATTGCTGTTTGGAAAGGGAAGGAAGCGAAAGATCAAGAGTAGTAGCTAGCTTGTGATCGATCTAGCTCGAGATGGGTCGTGGGAAGATTGAGATAAAATTGATTGAGAACCCCACGAACAGGCAGGTCACCTACTCCAAGCGAAGGAATGGTATCTTCAAGAAAGCTCATGAACTCAGTGTTCTTTGTGATGCTAAGGTTTCACTCATCATGTTCTCCAAAAACAACAAGATGCACGAATACATCAGCCCTGGCCTTACGTGCTTATCCTACTCTTCTCTCTCTCTCTCTCTCTCTCTCTCTCTCGGCAATAATATTTAGGAGCTTGTTCTTTGTGTTTTTTATTTTTATTTATTTGTTGATACCCATTTGTTGTGACTTATGAACCAGGACAAAGAAGGTAATTGATCAGTATCAGAAGACTTTGGGGGATATCGATCTGTGGCGTTCTCATCATGAGGTTAATCGAGCACTGATCTTTCTCTCTTATTCTTAATTATGGGTGTTTGTATTTGTGTTTGTGTTTTGTTGTTATTTTTCTTATGTGCATTCATGGTTGCAGAAAATGCTTGAAAACTTGAAGAAACTGAAAGATATTAACAATAAACTCAGAAGACAGATCAGGTAAATATAAAACAAAATCGGGGATGCAACTAGTTAATATTTTTACCTTTTTTTTTTTAAACACTTCTATGCACACGCACGTACTATTTTGGTACCCATGATGAAAGCTCATTGGAGAAGTTATGATTTCAAAAGGCATAGGATAGGTGAGGGTTTCGATATGGACGATATGAGCTTCCAGCAACTGCGTAGTCTTGAAGAAGATATGGTGTCTTCTATTGGGAAAATACGCGAACGAAAGGTATAATCTTTTCTAAAGTTATTGTTTTTGAAAATTGGTACTTCTTTCCCGTTTCATGGTTTTTCTTGAGTTCTGTAATATCCTATTTCTTCATCCTTTCTACAAGAACCATAAGCTAGTCTTAATTTCGGTCTTCAAGTAACTCCAAAAATAAGTTTAATTTACTAACTATTCTCCTTCCTTATTATTTTCTCTTGCAGTATCCTTTTTTTGTTTTCTTTTCCTCTTGTTTCTTTCTAAGAAAAAGGAATTAAAGAGGTTAAAGTTAAGTCTGGGATTCTTGAATATTTTTTAAAGGGTTTTATAAGACTTATGTTGTAGTAGGAGTGATTGTGTAATGTTATAGAGATTCGTTTTACGTGCGTTAATTTTCTTTTTTTCTTCAAAAAGTGTGAGTCCACAAAATATTGTGTGTGTAGGAAAAATGCAAACCCCTTTTTTAAAACCAAATTTTAAGATAGATTGCTGATTTATATAGCTGCATGATCTCCTTTAGGCTTTAAGCTGATAATCTTATGTTTTTCATTCATCCTTTTTCACAGTTCCATGTGATCAAAACTCGTACTGATACCTGTAGGAAAAAGGTCAGCAATTATTATAATGAATCGCTCAATTCTATTAGCATGATTATTAATTGTTTCTTTTCTTATTTATGGTCTAGTTTTTTTCTTGCACTTGTTAATCTTATGAACCAGTGTTCTTTTACAACTTTTTGGCAATAACATATATACAGGTTAGAAGCTTGGAGCAGATGAACGGAAATCTCCTGCTTGAACTTGTAAGAACTTTTCTTTTTAAATTCATGTTCAGGAAAGTTGCATCTTCTTTTGATTGTAAATCAATATAGTGGAGGAAATGATTTCGTTCCATCTTTGTCAACGGAATATTAAGAAGGAAAAGTGTGTGATCCATCCACAATTTCTTTTGCACGATGAAGGAGACGAATTGGCCAACGGTGCCTCCAACCTGTATGCATTCTGTCAGCACCATACTCATCTAAATCTTCCCCACCATGGAGAAGGGTTTAAAATTGATGATCTGCGCCTGGCTTGAGTGGCACCAAAGTCGTATCAAATTTGCTTGAATTAGAAATGTAAATTAGTCAGCTAGCGCTTGTTATTTAAGCTTTTGTACTATCTTAATGGACCTATATTATGCCCAAAGTTGGTTCCAACCTCTCTATCTGGGTAGAGAATTAGCTAGCTCTTATATATATAGTATTTGGCAAGAGTGTGGTTTGAAAAACAGAACAACCGACTATGATGTACTGTGTACTATTTGTTACTAAAAGTTTATATTGGGTGAGTATGTTATATTCATTGCTTAATTAGTTGCTTAGGTAAGATCATTTTACTTGCATAAACTTGATGCATATAATTAACGTGAGTTCACAGCCAAATAAAGTATTAATACGTCATTAATACAGCAGTCACCAGAACATTGATTTCACAAAATTAAACGATATATCAATATTTTATATATAAACTTGGTGCAATAAGTTAGATTTGTGAAGTTTATGCAAGAATTTTTTTTATAGCTAAGTTTTCACAAGCAACAAAAAGAGAAGTTTGCAATCAAGGACAGGAATTGAATTGAATATCTAGTCCCGGTGGTACTTTCCAATGAATAAGGATTGAACTCTTTATCTTAGAGAAAGAAATATATATGTACCTCATGTTGTGTAGCTTTCGGTTGTGTGTGTGTGATAGACTAAATTCAAGCGTGTGAAGTATCAAAACCCCTGATTTGCTAACTTAAAATTAAAGAGATTTTTCTAGAGATGGTACCCGTGACTAGAGGTAAAAATTGCATATAGTGAGAGAAAAGAAAAAAGAACATGAAGTTATTAATATTAACTAAGAGTGAGATTTTGAAAATAGAATTTAGAGTACGGCAAAGAGTTTGGAAACCCCAAGAAAAGGGAAGGAACATAACAGTAATAAAGAATGCGGGTGAAGATTACTGAAAATCAATGGGCCATCGCTGTAGGATGCAGTGAAGCAATGGACATATATAGCTTCTCCGTGTGCAATTCGGGTGTTTTGAGAACTTGAGGATGTTGGTGTGTGTGTGTGTGTGTAAGAGAGAGAGAGAGAGAGAGAGAGAGAGAAGAGACCAGTCCAGTCCATCTGGTAAACTATAAAACCCAATGAAGATTATGTTAGACCAAACCTAAATGGGTGAAGGATTGACTATCCAGTCCCCAGTTCTCAAATATAGAAAACTGTTACATCTTATTTAAGTAACAGGGTAACACATGCAGGTGTCCCTCAATAATTGAGTTGAAAAACTGGTTAAGTATAGGACAGGCCTTGGCCCTATTATTCAATCTGGGCCCATTCATTTATTAATGTGCTTAAAAATTTAGAATCCTACCTCATTCCTTTAACAAGAGATAAATTTTAAATTTCCATAAAATTCACATTGAAAATTTTAGTTTTGGTATAAGAATTTTTTAAATTTTTATGAGAAAATGAGATTATTAGGTAAAATTTTGAATAACAATCCCACAAAATAATATCACCAAATAAGTGATATTATTGAATTCTCATCTGGTGGTGATAAAATTTTATATAATTTATAGGACGTAAATAAACCTGCTTTAAAGCTTTAATCCTGGACCCGCCCCGAATCGGATTAGTTATAAAACAATGAACCGATTGAAATATTTTTAAAAAAATAAATAAACCTGCTTTAATGTTTTCATGACTAAAATAACATGTCTTGTTAAAGCTCTAGCCATGATACTTTATTCACAATTTTTTTCTATACTATATTAGTTTGAATTACGATAAAATACTTTCAAGTGCTGTGTTTTGACTTTTTTTGTAGCATATCAATTTTTTTTTTTCAAAAATTCATTAAATGTTAGTTTTGTAAAATCAGTAAACCGCACACATTCTTACTAATCATTAACAATCAATCAAACATGAAAAAAATTTGAGCCAATAGTTCTATGAAATTCACTTTCCTAACATATTCACAGGTTGTAATTTTCAGGAACACATTTTTGTTTCCTCTCTCAAACTCCCCTAAGAGCTGTCGGCTTAACGATTCAACTCATCATCTCATTATTCTAGACTTGATAAAATGGTTAAGAATTAAGATGGCGTGTTCAATGCCATACATAATTATAAAACATTATAATATTGAAACCACGAGATACAATATGTGAAACCAGATTTAATTATTAAAGTGTACCATAAATATATTAATGATAAGTGTGAAGTTTAAGTAAAATTTACAACTTAAAAATAAGTTAGTTAGGTTTTCAATTGTTGTTGACCTAGCAATCATTATTCTGATAATGACTTTTGCCAAATGTATGACTTTCGACGACACCTTAATCATCGACGATCGATCAGATACATATATACATAAGAGTTTTTTTCTAGCAATGGTGTGATAAGTTGGTTGGAAGCACCAATAGAGATTATTTATGTAAAAGATAGGTGGCCCCAAATTTTAAAGTTTGTTAGCCATAATAGAAATGTCTAAACACAAATCACTAACCTCTAACATTGGGACCCGATGCCCAAACAACTTCGCAACAACTGCCATCGCAAAAGATGCCACATTGCCTGGCATTTGATTCTGCAATCTCCACCAACCCTATATAGTTTCTTCTAACTTAAGACTACCTAAGCTACTAAGGTATAATGTATCGGATTTTCCATTAATACGCATCTTTTAATTATCACATTCCCAAGGGCGATTTAGGAATGTTGGATAAGAAGCAGCAAGAAGGATCCGTAACGGCTAGCCATCAGAGAAGAATACTTGAGAAAAAAAAAAAGTACAGCTAAACAAAATTCATTTCTCAACACACACACAGATGTCAGTATATAAGTAGCCAATGTGTCGTTACGAGGACCCAACACTGTACGAACCCTCAAAGGGAGGGTTTTGCCTTTCTTCTTTCTCTAAACAAACAAACACCCAAAAAAATAAAAATCTCATTTTCAAAGAGATTGCTGCATCGGATAAGCGTCTTAGATCTGCCCGTGAAGCCACTCATCAAAAAAATCTCTGACTCCTGTGAGTGGGGAAAGAGAGCTACGCTACGCATCATAAAAGTTACCTTTGCTCCACTTTCCCTTCTTTCACTCTGTACTCTTTTCTTCCATCACCATCAATGTTCTCTTTCTGATTCCACATCCAGCGGTCCTGATTTATTATTACCCCGCTAACTTGGGTTCAATATACATCATTCTTGAGAGAACAGTGAAAATTGCAAATGGGGTCTCTCTCTTTTTCTCTGTTTGTGACCATTGCAGCAGCTTCGGGATTGTTATTCGGAGCAGAATCAAAGACATATTGGGGAGATGCTGAGGTTCTGAAGGAGCTGAAGAATGGCCTGGACCCTCGTTCCGTGACTCCAGGTTCATGCGTGAGCTCGTGGGATTTCACGGTCGACCCATGCGACAACCTTTTGGGCGAGAAATTCACGTGCGGTTTCAGGTGCGACGTTGTCGTGTCGGGGCTGAGCCGAGTCACGGAACTCAGTCTCGACCAGGCGGGTTACTCCGGGTCACTTCCCTTCACTTTGAACCTTCCTTATCTCGAAACACTCGATGTCTCAAACAACAACTTCTCAGGCAACATTCCTGAGTCTTTATCAAACTTAACTCGTCTCCGTCGACTCGGTTTGTCGACGAACTCGTTCTCCGGCGAGATACCCGATTCCGTTGGGTCACTCTCCAACCTTGAAGAGCTATACCTCGATAACAACAACCTACAAGGAACAATCCCAGCCAGTTTCAACGGCCTCGTGAGCTTGAAAAGACTCGAACTTCAATCCAACAAGCTCAATGGGCACCTTCCCGAATTGGGTTCCCTCATAAACCTTAATTACCTCGACCTCAGCAACAATGCAATCACAGGATCATTACCAACTTCACTACCCGTTTCCTTAGTTCAGATCTCAACGAGGAACAACAACTTAAGCGGTGCCTTAACATCTGAAAGCTTCAAGAATTTGATGTACTTGGAGGTAGTGGATTTCAGTTCCAACCAATTCAGTGATTCAGTTCCTTCTATTCTGTTTGAGCTTCCATCTCTGCAGCAATTGACACTGTCCTTCAACCAATTCTCATGGATCGAAGTGCCCTCTTACACCCAAAGCGAGCTCATAGCGGTTGATCTGAGCAACAACCAGCTTCAAGGGGTTTTGCCCACGTTTTTAGCACTGATGCCAAAGCTTTCATCTTTGTCCTTAGAGAACAACGAGTTCACTGGTCTGATACCCATTCATTATGCATTGAAGACAGTTTTTCCCGAAATTGGGATCTCTCCATTCGGTAGGCTTTTATTGGGGGGCAATTACTTGTTTGGAGGGATACCCCGTCCTCTGTTAGTGCTCAAACCTGATTCTGCAAATGTGAGCTTAGTTGATAACTGCTTGTATAGGTGCCCTCATATTTTCTTTTTCTGCCAAGGTGGACAACAGAAGTCATTGGCAGAATGTAAGGGATTTAGCCCTCTCATCCCTTAGATCATCATCATCATAAATGGTTTGATTTCTAGGCGATCTTTGTAAAATTCTTGTTTTCTGTTTCTTCACTCTCTCTTTTTATTTTTTTATTTCTGATTTTGGATTTTAATTGAGGATGTGATATCTTGTCTTTAAATACAAAACAATCATGAAACGGAAATTCAGATTGTGTCTGAGGGTCAATGTTAATTAAGATGATCAAATGTAGATTTTGTGTCTCTATTCTGACGTTGCAACCATGTGACAATAGGGGATGGGAAACCCACGTTTGGACCATTACGAAGATTATTAGGTCTGGACCACTGTCAGAGATGCATCATGATTGATGGCCACTTTCTTGGGCAAATGCCTTGGGTTTTACTTTTTCCTAATTATGGTTTTAATGCATCATTAGTCAGCTTGACCCAAAACAATTTTGATCAAGGCCCAAATAGTGTGATAATTTAGTCAAATGAAATTACATTTTCTTCAACTTAAGGTATTATTAATTATTTTGAAAAAAAACAATACTTATTTGAAACAGAGAAAAAGTATTAGTTACATTTACATGACATGTCAAACTAATTAAATGGTGTAACGACGCATTATGTGATTCAAGTCTAAAATAATTTTATTCTTATACTATATTAAAATTAAATTCATCCCGAAAAAGCTCCTTGCAAATAGAAAGATATAATTAAAGTAACTGAAAAAAAAAATTAAAAAAAAAAAAGAGCTGTGATGCCAGAAGACCTATATAGTGCATTTCGTTTTTATTTAAAACTCCAAAACCATAAGAAATATATTTCTGCCCAAACCATGGTTTGAGAGTTTCCAAATAAAAAACCACACATGCAGCTGCTAGTCATACAATTAAGGTTGAGGACCAGCCCACAACTTGCTAGGATGCAATATTCACAGGTCTTGGATTTGTCATTCAATCCACTAGTATAACACAAAATATCCAACTCGTATCCATATCAGCTTCCGGGCTAATCTTAAATTGTGTGGTGTGGACCGCCACTTACAGAATAAAGATTTTTATTTTTTTCTTTTAACTCCCTTCTTCTCTAAAACCTGACAGTGTAAGGAAGACTTGTTTTCATTAGAAGACCTGGGCTCCGTTCGCTTATACATTATGAGCCTGTTTGGATCCTCTTATTTTTAAGCTAGAAGCTACTTATAAGCTAAAGCTAAAAAAAAGAGCTTAAAAAAATAAGCTAAAAGCTGTTTGGAAATTACATAAAAGTTTTAGCTTAAAAATTACTTAAAAGCACATATTTCAAGAAAATTATCTCTTTCTATCTTTATCACTCTTTATTTTAAAAAAAAGCACACAATTCAAGAAAAACAGATAAGAGCTTAAAAAAAAGCTCCTCCTAGGAGCTTTTAATTTTCAGCTTTTTTCTTCATTATAAAAAAAAGAGCTTTTCGTTATAAGAGCTTTTCCCAAAACATGTTTGGCCTAGCTTATGCTTATAAGTAGCTTGTAGCTTAAAAAAAAGAGGATCCAAACAGGCACTATATATACCCACGATAAGCCATTAGACATTGGCCTAATAGTAGCATCAAACCATCGCCTCCCCAGGCCCAAATCCCTGAAAATTCGAGATGCAAAGCCCAGCTTCTCATGTACCTCTGTCCTAAACCAAAAAAATATCCATCTAAAGTCCTATGCAATCCATTTGAAGATCAATGACAATTAGTGTCACGATCCCAATAACTTAATGGCGTAATGTATTTGAAATGGATAAAATTATATATGTAAATAGGCTGGGCTGGATTAGCTTAAATACATTAAGTTTGTGTTAAATTTTAGGTTTGACTTAGTCTGTTAGCATATATAAACTCAAATTATAGTCTGTCCTAACCTATATTTAAAAAATAAAAGTTTTGTTTTAGGCCTGATAACTTGTTTGAACCTATTAGGCTATTAGGTATCCAATAATTTAAAATTTTAATTAAAATAATATTATTTTATTATTCAAAATTATTTAAAAAAATTTACATAAAATAAATAATATAATATAGATCACCATGTAAGTTTATAGGTCCATCCGGCATATAAAAAAAAAGTGTATGACCTGCTTTTTAAAAAGAATTTTTTTTAGACCTAAGCTTATTCTATTTGATTATATATAATAGGCCGAGTTTGGCCTGACTTAACGTAAGCTAAACCATAGGCTCGCGGGCTCATTTTCAACCCTAGTTGAAATATACATTTATTTTATAACAAAAGAAGTGCAGAGACACTTTTGTAAAAGCACCAGTGGTCTAGTGGTAGAATAGTACCCTGCCACGGTACAGACCCGGGTTCGATTCCCGGCTGGTGCATTTACCTTTTTATAATCTCGTTTCTCAAAGAAAAATAATTGCCACTCAGATAGCTGAAGATTTAAATATGACTCTCTGTTTTTTCTTGAAGTAATTAGTCACTGAGCTGTGCTTTCAATCCAATACAATGAATCACAGGTGTCAGGAAATTTTACATCTCATGCGTTATTATTGTGAAACCTAAATATTCCAAGGTGTGCTATTTGCAAACTTTCCCAGACGAAATCTTCCAACGGAGGTAACACCTAAACTGAGATTAGACCCTGTGTGTATGTCATTTAATACATACAGCAAGTACTATATTACTAGTGTTGCGTATATATAATATAACCTCTATAACCAACTCAGTGGTTTCCCATTCTTTCTAATCCTCTAATTAACAGCACCCCAAGGATAGGAAGTTGCTCGAATGAAACATGAATTGATCGTGTGGTGATACACTGATACTACAATCTAATGACCTTCGATTAAATTTCGTAAGTACTCAATAACTTCCAATAATTTACTCTCATAATTTATTCCTTACTCAAACTACATTTTTATATGAATAGTATGAACAAGAAAGAAAGAAAGAAAAAATTGTAGACGATTATTCGAGTCAAATCGAATAAGACCATACTCAAGAATTCTAAAATGCAATTTCTACCGAAGGTATGCTTTATATCATCCAAGGATTTAAATCTTAGTTGACATCACCTAATGCAGCCACATCATTCTGTAGATCATATTGGCCACAAGCCCATATCTCTCTCTACAAAGTAACTGCAATCACAATTTCAAAGAGATTCGAAAATTATTAGAACATAAATTAGCTTTTGATAAAAGCTAAAAATAGCTTATACATATTATTTTTACGAGAAGTTTAAATATTTTCATACATGATCTGCCTCACATTTCGGATTAGTTTTTTATAACTGACTCAAAGAGTTAAAATTTGTGAAAATATCAGAAGAAATCAATTCGCTTCAAAGAAATAATTAGAGTTAAGTTAACTCTAATAAAAAAAGAAAGAAAAAAAAAGGCGCTTTTGCAAATTGTGCTGGGATAAGGTTAGGTGGTTTGCACTTTGGAATTGCTCGAGTGCGTGTCACACACAAACACGAACGTTTTTGGACCCTTATGCTTGCTCCTTTACCCTTTATATTCACGGACCATTTGCATGCTCTGTAGTGTTGTGTCTCGTTTGAATGCATTCTATAACTGCGTAAGAGTAACTCCCCTCTCTGTTTCTCTTAATTTGCTTTTCTGTTATTGCAGTGCAGGGAACCAACGAAACTTGGTTTGTAAAATTTGACTAGCCTCATGGTGGGGACCAACCCATATTGATATATAATCGTGACGCACACATGTGATATGTCCAACGATAACCACTATCGAGACCAATTCATGAAAAATTAAATATTGAGTTACTTCAAGTATTAATCATGACTATTGACTGGCTAGTAGCTACTGCACTAGAAGCACGACTCACATATATACCCAAGCAAATTTCTATCGTTTCTAAAACTCTCTAGTTTTTCAGTTTTTAAATCTTACTAATTTTTCTATACCTTTAATATAAATTTTTAAATTATATACTTATTGAGAATAAATATAAAGAAAGAAAAAATCTTTATTCTTATCAAAATACATAAACTAAAAATCTCAACATGCCGTAAATTAGATAGTTATAATGTGTGGTTTTAGCACATATATCACAACAAGGAAGAGCAAACAGAGGATGAACAGACAAAGAAACCTTCACCCCTATGACCTTTTCTCATTTCATGCGGACGTAGCATGCTAGCTAAGAGGGAAAATTAGTAAGAATATAACAATTGTTGGAATGTTGAAACCATGAAAGTTTAACGAAGAAACTTTGATTTTTCACTTCCGCATGAATCGCAATTTCAATCCTAATTCATGTTTACAATTTTTAAATTCAAGAATAAACAAACAGGATGGTAAAAGGAACAAACTCCTCCCATTCATAACTCCAAAGGTAGGTTTGGTTTTGACAAACTTCCGAATTGTGAAAAGAATGAAAACTACTCTAAATTATCATATGTTATGATTTTAACTCTCAATCTTTATCAATTTACACAATCTTTTGTTGGTTGATATACTGCAATTTGTATAAACCAATATTTGTCCAAGTAAGAAAATAAAACAAATATTTATAGAAACAAAAGCAAAAGAAAATAAAACAAATCACGCGAGAAAGTTCGGTCCAGGATACCAATTAGGTAAACGAAGATTCTTGTCTTAAACAAAAGACGCAGTTTTGCTAGATTTGTAGCCGGTATGAAATAAATTAAAAAGAGGAAAAAGAAGTTAAAATTGGAGATTTGAGAAAAGAATAACAACATTGAAGCAATTACTGGATAAGGATGAGTATATCACTGATTGAACTGAAGTTGTCTTCAAGGAATAACATCACCTAAAAATCTGAAATATGGAGTTTCTGGTTCCCTGCTCCAGAACATGGATTGGAAAATGCGGATGCTGTTATCAACTAGGACCGTGTGATTTTCCATTCACAGTGAATTATATAACAACTATCAATAAACATTCATTTAAGTGGTAAAGAGTTGGCTCCTTTTCATTAGAGATTTTATTTGATCCTAGTAATCAACGTTTCTATTGGATCTGTAAGCGAGCGGTGTTTATGGAGAAAACAACCACACGTGATGACAGATCCTTACTTCGCAAGCCCCATTATCAACTTGTATGTT